ATTCTTTCGATATCTGCATATCATAATATTCAATCGTGCATTCAAAGAGTTAAACTAATAATTATTATAAATATAAGTATAATTGTTTCATAAACCACTGTCCGTTTTACTCGACTTACCGTTAACTTCATGGTGATGACTGGAAGAGTCCGCTGCAGAGACTAATGTTCCGTTAAGATTTTCAACTTACTGTCGTTGAACACAAAAAATTGTACTGTGTTTGAACCACGTCTGTCCTGGATTTTTATATGCACGCTACTGCCGTCGAGTTTACCTCCGCGGCCCAAATTTGGCTGCCGAACTTGCCACCATTTACGGTCGTCCTGCCGAACTTGACCCGTTAGCGGTACTAAATACAAGTGCGCGGCCATGTGACATCATCGTCGTACGTATAAAAAGTTTCCGTTCGTGGAAACTGGCGTCGGAATTTGTTTCCCCATCGTCCATACCAAACCGGACACTGACGCAACTGTTACCATGTTTGCCAGTCACTCGATGGCGTTTTTCCTTCGTCGTCGTCGCACTGCGACCGCCGTAAACCACCTTGGCTCAGCCGCAAATTGTACGACGTCAACAACAACAACAAAAACAACGACGACGGTCAAACAATACCTAATACAACAATAAATTAACATTATTACGTGTATACGGTACACTCAAGTTGTAAACGCTTATAAATGTATCGTTCTGAACCAGCATAACTTGGAGAAATTAATTTTTATTTTTTTATTTTTTTTTTTTTTTGGGGGGGGGGGGGAAGGATAAAGAAAAAATATAATAAATAGTTTTTACAAATTTTGTTTAAAAAATAATCGCAGGCAACTTTCTTAAATAATTTACTGATAATACATCTACGTAAATATCATATTTTTATAACTACATATTGTCTTTGGAGTTTTATAGAATCGTTAAATAAGAAAAAATATATTAAGTTATTAGTACTTTCTAGCAAAACGTTAAGTCTATTAGAATATTAATATTTTAATTTTAAATTAGTAATTAAATCAATCCAATTCAAAAAAATAATAATCAAGCATCATAGGTTTTTTTTTACAGTGGGGGAAGAGGATAAACTGAAATATTTTCCTTTACTATTAAGTGCTATTAGGCAACTGCCTATCTTTCCACTCCCAGAATACACCCATGTCATAGATACAGGCACTGTGTTATAGAACACTTCTTTCGTTCAACAATTTGCATCCAGTATTTATTATTATTTCAAAAGAATAATGTTTATAATTTGTCTAAGTGTCTCATGGGTTTTATTACTGAGTTATGTGTACATTAAATATTATGATCTTAACTGTGAACATGTTCTCAATGGTACTAACAGTTAGATTTATGTCATTAATTCGTTTGATCGATCAGCTGATGAAGAACGTTTTAATACGTTTTAATACGTAAACTGCAGCAACGTCAAGTTTTCTCATATTTTTTTTATAAACAAATATAGTACCATTTACGCATTATCATAATATATATATATATATATATAAGTGTGTGTTAATGATATACTTGTAAAATCAAATTAGCGAAAGTCAGAAATTTTAAATTTTGTTTGGTTAATTTACTTTTTTGAAACTGGATATATTTTTTAAATGTTTGTTATTGCTAATGCACATTTAACAATTTCATAATCTAATTATTGTGATAATATAATTTTGATTAGTTAAGCACTTTTTTCTTTAAAAAATAGAGTGTTTTCACAAAAATATTATTTTTGTTTTAAAATGGTTGAATTGGCTAAAAGTTAGAAAACTTGAAATCTGCTAATCCTGCGTATTATTTAAAATGAGAGATAAGTAAAACTTTAAATAAATATTCGAATCGTGACCTCAAAAAACCTGTATTTTCGTATGATTTTTTTGGGTTAGATTTTTAACACTTGCTGTAAAAATATCAATTAAATTATATTATTAAATTTAGTTTGTTTAATTTTTAAATGAGTACAAAACTAAACAAATGTCGTGTATAGTTAACTGAAAAAAGTGATAGAGTTTTCATTAATAATATATACCCATGCCATCACAATTACTTAAGGTTTTTCAGTGATCACGATAAACTATTGATTTTATATTTTTATGCGACAACATCATAGAAGACAAAAAGGTCATTAGATTATTTTTTTGTCCTTATCATAACCCTGGCCAGAATAATGTATAAAAACAATAGGTAGGTATATTTAATATTTGTAATAATTTGTACAGCAACGATTTAAAACAATAACTGTTCTTGAAACAAAATATGATTTATTTGAGAAACAAAATCATACTTTAATTTTTCTATTTTTACATCTATGTTTGTGTAAAACATGAATTTATATTTCACTGTTTTCTTAGTTGAAGTGAAATAGCCCATCATTGTATAATATTATTATGGCAAACCTTTAAAATTATTACAATTGAGTCTACATAACTGTAACTAATAACTTATTATAAAATAACTGAATGTGAAAAACATAAGCACAATTATTATTTATTTTTGATAAATAAAATGTAATTGAAAACCTTATGTCGAGAAAGCAATGAATTGTAATAAAAAGAATAAAAAAATGGTTTTAATCCTTGAGTTTATTTTAAAGTTTAAATGTGATTTGGTATTTTGTATTCAAATAATATAAACGAAAACGTTGAGTCTTGGTTATCATAATTTATTATGATCATCACCATCATTCATTGGATTAAATAAATTGAGCATGTTTAATGTTGTTATTTAATCAAAGTTCTAATGAATACATAGATAAATACTTATGCTATAAAATATTTATTTCATAATATTTTTGATTTTATACCGATGAATAGTATTCACAAATCTCTGATAATGAAGTAATAGAGATATTCTTGGATATTATGCTTAAATAACTTATTTAATGTAGCCATATTAATAGATTTCTAAAAATAATTATAAGCTACATTATATTTTATAATTAATATTATAACTTTCGTGTGTAGTATAATAATATGTAAATGTAAATAGTTATCTTGATTTATATAAATTTTAGAATACTGAGTAATACTTGACATAATATTGTAATATTCACGCAACTTAATTTATTTATTCATTTATCTTATTTGATTTACATATTTTTTTCTTATTTTAAGCCAACAATAATATTATAATATACTTTCTACTTTAAAAAAATCCGTAATTAACGTAACAAATCCACTAATTGAATATCGAAACTGTATAATTCAGTGTAAGTTAAAAAGTATAACGTAGCTTCAGATCATTTGAAATAAATTTGTAGTGTTTAGTGGATAATAATAACGATGTCTATTCAAATTTATTTAAATGACTGTCTAGTGTAATGTTTTAAATTATTCTAGATGATAATTTTTCTTTGATAAATTATTCATAATATTAGTACTTAATAAGTTGTGACAATAATACATTTTGTTTATAGTCTGGTTGAATATTTTTGAGTAGTAACTTTTACAAAATGAAAATAATGTGTCACTTGGAAATCAATGCTTACTTACTGTTTATAGATGATGAATTATTGTCATTTTATTTTGTTCTTATTTAATTTTGTATAATATTTTAGTTTTTCGAATTTATTAGTTATTAATTAGGTATCCGTATTAGTATATTATTATGACTTGTTTGCTTATTTGTTTGGAATAATATAGCAAATTGATCTAATATTATTTAAATAAAATGTATTAAAAAGTATAAATTTGTACAGAGATGTTTTTTTCTAATTAAACGTTAGTTCAATAATAATGTTTAACGAGATGGAGTACCTATGAAAGAAAGAGTTGCCGTCTAAAAAAAAATCATCTGAAAAAAGATACCGTTTGAATTTGTATAGCATTATTTGTTATATACCGATTACAGTGATTATACCGAACAGCTGTGGATGAGAAGACGAAATAAAAAATAAAGCCTAACTCAAATATTGTACACCATTTCTAATAGTATAATACATAATACTAAAATAGCTATATACTTGCCATTTCATCTGGCCTCGAGCTGTGTACTTTTCGCATTGTCTTTTCAGCGCCAGGCAACATATTTCAAAGATTGCGATATTCTATCGAATAAGCCATATATGTTTCGGTCACACTTTCATAATAATACGTAAATAGTTGTGGATGGCCATTCGGATCAGCACTATTATCACATAATATATTGTTATATGTAATTTTTTCTTGAAGTTTTATAACAACAGACGCATATTGCACGCGTAATTTTACATTTTTTTTTTTAATTTCAGTTGTATCATATATTTTATATTTTTATACACCAGCCTTTTGTCAGTCCAAAAGATATTGCGCTCGAAAACACGAGTTTTTATTTTAAAGTGTATTAGTATACTGTCATACTTATTTGTATATTTATTCTTGTAGTCTCAATACTAGTGTCGTATGAAAGTAAATTGTATTTAAATATGTTGGCCCCTACTTTTGAACCGTAAATATGTCATAGATTCTTGTGCGCGTCGATGCGTTTATTATAATAATGATCCTCCTTAAAACGTCAATGGCAAAATCATTCGTCTCCTTACATGCTAGACGTGATAATTAATACTCGGATACCTCGTAATTTATGTTATTTTCAATATCGAGTTGTTGTTATTGTTGTTAAATGGACGGGTTAAAGCCCTAATATCTTTTGGCGTGTCTATCAAACCGAAATAGAATTAACAAAATTCTATAACGTCGCCCGAGGCTGAAACAAAGATTATAAACCTCAAATATTTGAAGTAAACTATAAGCCATACTAATGGAGTAAAACTGTAAGTAGATTTACGGTACGAATAACACACAAAAAAAAAAAATGATAAAATGTTTTCGATTATATCTTCTTAGAGTATTTCCAGTCCAATGATTAAAATGCCGTATAATAATGTTGTTCTTGTTAGGATAATGTGCTCATGACTCATATGGTCGAACTTTATAAAAAAATCGTCTTTTAACACCATAACGAACGCATTATGAATTATAGGAATACACATATACCTATGTATACTATAGATGTTGTGCTTGTTATGTCTACAGGTTCCTGGCCATCTGGTACCCGCTTAAGTGTCAGATCACCACACGCCGTGCTCGGTATATCATCGGCATCATCTGGTTAGCGTCGACCACCATCACCATACCATGGGCGCTGTTCTTCGACATGGTGGCTATATTCAAAGACGCTCCGAACCTGGAACTGTGCCTGGAGGTATGGCCGGACTACCTGGACGGCAACCTGTACTTCCTGTTGGGTAACCTGGGCCTGTGTTACGTAGTGCCTACTGTGGCTATATCACTGTGCTATGCGATGATCTGGGTGAAGGTATGGCGTCGGACCATACCCACAGACAACAAGTGCGCGCGCATGGAGCGCATCCAGCAACAGAGCAAGGTGAAGGTGGTAAAGATGTTGGCCATGGTGGTGGTGCTGTTCGTTGTGTCCTGGCTACCGCTGTACGCGATATTCGCCAGGATCAAGCTCGGCGGCCGGCTAGTTCCGTGGGAGGAGGACTTCCTTCCAGTGGCTACGCCGATCGCGCAGTGGTTGGGCGCGTCCAACAGCTGCATCAACCCGGTGTTGTATGCGTTCTTCAACCGTAAGTTCCGGCGCGGCTTCACCGCGGTGCTCCAGAGCCGACGATGCTGCGGCACGCTCCGATACAACGAGAACCTCCAGCACTCGGCCTCCGCCAATGGCAACGGCGGTGGAAAAGCGTCCTCGTATTACATCACTAACCATCACGCATACACGAAACGACAGTCCAGCCAGGAAACGAACGTGTCGTACATATTCAACGTCTGAACTGCAACGCACCTAATGCCGCTCCCCACACACACGAACGATAACGATATACCGATATTCGCGTATGTTGTCGATTTCGTCGTCGTCGCAGTAGTTGTTGCCGTTGTTGTCGTAATATATTAATATTATTGTACCGACAATAATCAACAATAATAATCACATATAATAATAATTCGAAAGAAAAACCTCCTTCAATGACGTCGGAAGTGTTTTCAGGTCCGGCGGCGGGACGCCCCATTGTATATTTTACCTACGCCTACGGTTAGATCGTACGGTCGTACACGTAAAATATTATAGCGATATAATATTACGACGTGTCGAGGGTTTCCCGCCGCCAAACATCGATATCAATACTACAATTTTATATATAATAATAATTGCACACATACCACGTTCCTATACGTATATTATACTGCCGATGCACACTGTACGTGTATATGTTATAATTTAATAATATGTAACATATCGCCATCTAAATTATAATAATAACAATGACGTAATCGTTTTAGGCGAAATGCGAAAACGTAAAATTACGCGCAATTTTCACATCTAAATAATACTATATTAACTATTATAATAATGATAAACAATATTATAATGTAGTCCATCGAGATAATAATTATTATATTATAATACAACACATACACTCATACATAGGTTTATGCGTATATACATAGTGTATTAAAAATAAAAAATGACGAATACGTAAAAACATTATTACGTATAATCGTCGTTTTGCACGCTGTACATACACATATTATATTAAAGGGTGTATTCAATAAACTTTCACAGCTTCTCTTTCCCCGACAACCCTCTAGCCGTAATATAGTCATATACGTTATTTTATACTACCCTCTTCTGGCCACCTAACACCTATCCACTTACAACCCACCCGCGAGTACAGCACGCGAGACCTGTTACGATGTACAATATTATAGTCAACGGGGGGAGATATTTGGGCATTCGATGCACGTAACTCGGACGACTTACGACAATCGCTTAGAGATTGTCTAGTTTTATCGGAAAAATGCTTACGAACTTTTCTATAGTTTGGGTCTCCAGCTGAATGTTTCCGGATTTCGCAAGTTTCGATGTAATATATATTGCGTGAATATATTTGTAGACCGTTACAAACAAGTAGCAAATGATCGAAAACATTGTTTTATCTAATTTATTTTCAAATTCATTCCGTTTCAAAAATTTTTGAACTCGGATTTGAAAGGATTACCAATAAAACTTCATATTATTATTATGTCCTATTCATGAGCCGCTACTATTGTTGTTGCTGTAATATTATTCGTATGACTTGTTACAGTCATCTATCGATAACTATTAATACGTAATATCAAAACAGACAACGAGTATAATAATTTCTATTTTAATAGTCAACAAATGGGGATGTCAATTGACAACTACAAAACCATAAAAAATAAATAATAATATTATAGTACTTATAACTTCATATTCGACTTGTCTATATCATAATATGTCGAGCAAGGCGCAAAATTTCCGGTACCTTATCACATTTAAACATTACGCTTATCGCTAGATGGGAGATTTAGTAAGCATCGTCCGTAACATACGTAACGTACCCCTTTTCAACGTGGCCACTTATGACGCACCACCCACTCGTAATGACATTTTACAGCGGGCAGGGTATATGTTTTCTATTTAAATTTCTACTCGTGATGTACTCGTCTACAGCCCAAATACGTGTTTCCAAATTCATTCAAAATCTTAAACACGGCATTCAATGATGACGTACACTTTCATTTCACACCCCCACACCGCACATTATTTGTAGTAGAATGATATCGTATTATAATAATATATGATATTATAATATTGTATTTCTAAGTAGAACCAGAAATCGATTGATACACGTTTAGATCACGGCGTATGTTGTATTTAATTACTAAGCACGTGGTATGGATGAAAGAAAAGAAGAAAAGACGATTTTGATGACGACCCTAAATAAGTGATTTGGCGCAGATTTACCTGGCATATTACACTATGTAAAATTCTAACTGCTTATATCAACTACAAGAAAATGAGAAATACAATATTATTGTTATCGAATTATGATAAGTGATAACATATTATATTTTATTCCACCGCACCTCTAAGTGCTCGCATTAATCTGTATACCTATCGCAATATATAATTATAATAATAACGATCACGTTAGCGAGCAATGACCGAATTTACCTATCTACTCAATTTGAGATGAAAATGTAACACGTTTCCGTGATTTGGTAGGTAAAACAAAACTAATTTAAAAATATAATATACAATAATATATATACACATTGCATGTGCTCTACATTCCGTAGTTACACGTACGATATAATTACTACATAACTACTAATTATTATGTTTATGTGAATACAATTTAACATATTACTATAAAATGTAGTAGGTATACGTTTGTGTTATGAAAAAA